CCCTCACTCACACCTGCAGTCATACACAGTCATACACATGCCCTCACTCACACTCACACAGGTACACACACACACTCACACGAGTACACAAGTACCTTCACACCTGCACTCATATTCACACAGGTACATACACTCCCTCACACCTGCACTCACACTCACGCAGGTTCACACATGCCCTCACTCACACCTGCACTCATATACACTCACATAGGTACACACACGCCCTTACTCACACCTGTCCACATACAGTCACACAGGTACACACACGCCCTCACTCACACCTGTACACACACACTCACATGGGTACACAAATGCCCTCACTCACACCTGCACCCATACACAGTCACAAAGGTACACACACACACACACACACACACACGTCCTCATTCACACCTGCACTCGTACACACTCCCACAGATACACATGCTCTCACTCACACCTGCACTCATACACACTCACAGGTACACACACGCCCTCATTCACACAGGCACGCACACTCACGCCCCCAAGCAGTCCTGGGCCTACAGCAGACCCTCAAATCCTCAACAGTCACCTCCTGGCTTCAGTGAGGGTATTTGCACGACATTTGCACGGTTTTGCGTGGCCCCTCCTTCTGTCCCACCCCCTCTGTTCTCAAACCGGCTGGTCCATCCTCCCACACCCCAGAGCCATGTAGGAACATGGGGTACAACAGGTAGCTCCAGTCAGCGTCCCCCATCCTGTGTCCCTCCGCAGAACATCTATGCTTCCCGGCCCCCACCCGGGACCCTCAAGCTCTGTTTTCAGCAGCCCCAAACCAGCTCAGAAGACCCCCAGCTTTGCCTTGGTCCATAGCTTCCCCACTGAAGCAAGGGGCGGGGCATAAGGGTGGTGCAGGGGCGGGATCTGGAGAGTGGGCGGGGCCTGTATGGTGACTTGGGGCTGCCGTGGGCGTGCCCTGCTCCTGGGTGGGGCCAGGGTTATGCAGGGGAGGAAGGCAGGCCCTGGTTGGGGTGTGACTTAGGGGCAGGGCCTGGGGGGCGGGGCCTGCAGGTGACTGCTGCCTGGTGGGGGAGCAGGGCCGGTGATAGGGCGGGGCCTAGTGAGTGGTCGGGGGTGGGGGGGGGCTGCGGGCGGGGCGCCCCACCTGGCGCGTGGCAGGCACGGAGAGGTTGAGGCCATCCATGGAGATGTTGACAGCGATGCTCATGCCGGCGAAGCGCAGGTTGCTCTTGCCCAGAATGGAGGCCAGCGCCTTGTTGGGGGCCTGGGCACCGGGGACAGCGTCGGGGTGCAGAGTGAGCACTGGGCAGGGCCCGCGGAGGGGTTGCCCGCTGGGACGAGGGTGCTCCTCTAAGGCAGCCCCACAGTATGCCACTGTGCCCATCCACCACACTCACCACCCCAGCCCCTCACTCACCTTCTTCTTCCAAGAGCCCCGGACACCGGGCACAGCCTCGTGCAGGCGGTTGATGGCTTCCCTGCGGAGGGGAGGGGCAGGCGTCAGAAAGCTCCAAGGATTGGAAGTGTGGGGGGCGGGGGGGTCGAGGGCATGAGCACTGAGAGGGAAGAGGGGCGCTCAGGGAGGGGACGGGGTCACTGGGAGACAGCGGTGGGGTCCAGAGGTGAACAAGAGGGTGGAGACGGGAAGGTAGGGCTAAGAAGGGGACATTGGTCATTGGAAAAGTGCAGAGGGGGGGTTCTTGTAGGTTTAATTGGGCTCCCCAAGAAGAACCAGAACGTATGGTGGAAAGTACCACACCAGAAGGTCCTGGCTATGCTGGAAGGAAAATGTGGAACGGAACTCGGACGCACACAACACAGCAGGGTTCCTGGTCACGTAGAGACAGGCGGGACCCCAAGACCAAGGCCCCTACTCAGGCTTAACCCTGACTTCACCCCTGTGTTTGAGATCAAAGGGGCAGCACTGCCCCAAGGACGGAGTTCAGAGGATCGGGAGAGGAGAAGGGAGACAGGAGACCGGGAGGATGGGCGGTGTAGGGAATGTGGTATGTTGAACAACTGCTGTGGGGGCGCTGAAACAAATTGGGTTTGAATTGTTGAATGGAACACTGGTGGTCCGCTCTGTAAGCCTGCACCTAATGCACAAGAAACCGTTTTTAAAAAGAGATACGTTGGCGCTTCCTCCCCCGCAGCACCCGGAAATGTGACTTTGTTTAGAAATAACGGGGTCTGAGGGGCTGTGCTTTCAGGGACCATTTCTGTGGCAGTGAGATGGTGTGTCCACCTGCACCTGTGTGAGAGTGGAGGGGTGGAATCTAACCTGTCAATCAGGTCACACAGCCTGATGATGCCTCCTTGGGGGTGTGGCCTCTTTTATAAGAGAGGCACTGGGAGCTCTCCTCCTTCCTCTCTGCCATCCACCTTCCTCCATGCAGGGACTCTGTGTCAGCTTCCAGGGGTGGCCCTGTGTGGACCACTGACCTGGAGAGCTGTCAGTGCCCTGTCATGTTCCCACTGATCTCAGGACCATGCAACTCCGTCCCCACCGGCCTGGGATCCCATAGTTCTGCTTCCGCTCTCCGCATCACGGTGAGTCTGGAGAGGTTCCGGCTAACATGGGACCCATGGGCTTCAGTTGGACTGAGCCGGAATGCCTCCTCGATTTAAAATCATGTTTGATACAAGTTCTTTCTTGTACATCTCTGAGTGTCCCTGGTGCTGTTTCCCTAGACCACCCAGCCTCACACAGTTCCTGACTAGAACTCGGGTCTTTGCAGATATCATCGGTTGCATTAAAGCTGAACCCTACTGAATTATAGTGGGTCCCCATCACGCTGGTCCCAGCAGGGTTGATTCTGACTTATGGTGAACCATGCGGGTCAGAGAGAAGCGTGTTCCACACAGGTCTCAGGGGCTGGCATGTTGGAAGTTGACTCCAGGCCTTTCTTCTCAGGAAGCTCTGGGAGAACTCGGCCCTGCCACCTTTCAGTCGGCAGCCAAGCAGGCGAACGCCTGGCACCCTCGTGGGCTGCTACAGTGGCCATCGGACCGGCAGTCCTATTCCTGGGTAGCACCCAAGAGAAGCCACAACATCAGTCCTCGCAGGGCCTGGTACACACGTGTCTGTAGCAGCACTGCCCATAACAGCCAAAGGGTGGGAACAACCTAATGTCCATAAAGGGGTAGAGGGGTACACACAAGAGGAATGGAATATCCTTCAGCCATCAGAAAGGATCGGCAGATTGATACAGGCGACAGACACCACGGCTGATCCCTGGACGCAGGTCTTCTCAGACGTAAAAGGTAAGGCGTGGAATCTGGAGGAGAGGCAGCTCCATGGAGAGACGATGGATGAGGAGTCATCCAGGGGATGAGGGAGTGGAATGGAAAGGGACAGGTAGCAGGTACGGGGTTTCCGTTTGGAGAACGAGGGCAGACATGGTGGCCGTCACATCATCTGGTGTCAAGAGGTGGAGTCTAGTCTGTCAATCAAGATAGAGCGAAGGAGGCCGCTGTGTGGGCTTGGTCTTCTCCTGAGGATTTTGGGAACTCCTGTATTTCCTCTTTGGAGGCAGGAGACTCTCTCTCTGCTCACTCTTCGGGAGACATCCCTGAGAAGAGAAGCCACATGGGCCTACCCTGATGCAACCAGAGCCCTGGGAGCTGGAGAAGTCACGTGGAGACCCCTGCCAGCACGGAGATGCTTACGATGCCACTGGACCTACAAGACTTCCCACCCACTGGCCTGAGGTATTCCTGCATTCGGTGTCATTGCATGTGTTGTGTGAGTCAGAAGTGGACTTTATAGATTAATATCGGACATATGAGTTAATAACTCACTTATGGACTTGATCTGGACTGGGCTGGGATGCTTTCTTAATATTCAATTGCTCTTGCATATAAAGCTCTTTCCTATACACGTATGAGTCTCTATGAATTTGTTTCTCTAGTCAACCTGGACTTACACAAACTGTTTGCACGAAGACCACAGTGAATCGGGTATATCTGTGTACACACACCAATCACTGCCAATCCCCCGCAGTGGGGGGGATTGACCAAAACGGTGCGACCCAATCCAGGCAGCTCAGAGCATGGAGAAAGCAAGGTCCCTTCTCCAGGCTGAGGGTGGGGTGGCCAAAGGAGATGGCACCCTCCCTCTGCTGGGATCCCAGGCCCCTCCCCCAGCCCTAACCTGAGCCACACGAGGGGACCAGCCAGCAGCCCCTGGGACATGCACAGGGGAACTGTTCACAAACACAGTTGGCGTCATCTATACCACATCCTGCAAAAGCCAGACTGTGGGCCCTGGCTTGCAAGAAAACCTGAGGTCTGGGTGGTGGGCCGGGGCCGACCGGGAAGCCTCAGGTCCACCTCACCCTGGGCAACACCATCCCCCCCCCTGGGAATGGGGTTCTTGCCAGCTGGGCTCACGTTCCACACTCGGAATGGCTGGGATCCCACTTCTGACTCCCTGGCCAAGTCTGACACAGGCAGACGGAGCGGAGACTCAAACTCCCCGTGGCCCGACGCCCTGAGAGAGGCTCACCTGGTCACCTGGGTCCGAGTGTTAAAATCCAGGGAACGCATGGAGCGCAGGACCTCGATGCAGCCCATGTACTAAGGAGGGAAAGGAAAGAAGGCATTGAAAGGCAGACCCAGAGTCTCGCCCTAGATGGAGTAGTGAGTGGGCGACATTTCCCGCTGCTCACCACAAAGGCAGCAGTTTGAATCCGCTAGCCACGCTGCGGGAGAGAGGTGAGGCTTTCACAGAGATTTACAGCTTCGGAAACCGGAGCCCGTTCTTCACTGTCCTAGAGGGTCACTGTGAGTCAGAATCGCCTCGACGCTGGGGGCTGTTTGGGGTTGGACTCCAGGCAGAAGGACTCGTCTGGGACTTAGAAGGTAATCCTCCCTTGCCGGCTCCTTCTCCGTCCCTTGACAGTCTCCAACCTTGCTGCCCCAAGACCCCTGCATCTGCTGTTCCCACGCTGTCTGTAAGCCTGGCTGCTTCCCATCTTTGGGGCTCACCCTCACACATCACCTTCGCTTTCGCCGCTGCTGCTGCTGCTGCTGCTGCTTCACAGGACCTGGTTCTGCCCCGTATGTGCTCCAGCGGCCCTCTCCTCTCCAGGTTATGAGGCCCGAGAGCAAGGACAGTGGGGCTCGCGCACGCCTGTGACCCCAGCACTGCACAAGGTCTAGCTCATAGGAAGTACTTACCGGGGTTTCCTTAAAGGGATGAGACTGGGAAAACCCGTGGTCTAGGTCCGCGCTATGTGATAGGGGAGCCGCAAGTCACAGTGGCTGTGGAAATGAATGTCTGAAAGTGAACTGTGTTATGTGATCGCCGTTGTGAACATACACCGCAAAACAGGCATCAGCTCAACCTTTGCCACATGCGTGCACGTTTCAGCGCAGCCACGGCGTTCTTCCCACTGGGCGGCCGTGGCCCAGCCTCCTTTTCCGAGCGGGTCCTCCCCCACTCGCAGAAGCTCACTGCCCTCCGGAGGTTCCCACCTGATCTCTCAGGTTGCCGTGCTCACCTTGACCCCAGAGCCGTGGGTCCGAAATGAACACAATGCGCGGAGCAGACAGGCTTCGGGGTTCTGAGGTGCCATCCGGTCGGTTCCAACCCAGAGCGCCCCGACGTGCAACAGCGGGAAAGGCCCCCGGTCCCACGTCCCCTTCACGTTCGTTCTGGTCTTTGAACCCACTGCTGCAGCCACTGAACCCGTTCGTCTCCTCAAAGGTCATCCTTGTTTTCCCTGGCCCTCGTTTCACCAGGCACGATATCCTTCCCCAGGGACTGGTCTCTCCCGACAACGTTCCCAAAGTAAGTGCGACCGAGTCTGGCCCTCCTCGGTCTAAGGGCTGGTCTGGCGGCCCTTCTCCGAGACAGATCGGTCCGTCCTTTGGGCAGTCCGTGATACTTCCAATATCCTTCGCCAGCACGATTCTTCTTGGGGCTTCCTTATCCAACAGCCCGCTTTCACGTGCACCTGAGGGGGCTGGAAAGACCTCGGCTCAGCTCAGGTGCACCCCGGGCCCTCAAAGTCACGTCCTCCCATCCAACGCTCTGAGAGGTCCTGGAAGACTCTTCGCTAGGGAAGCTAAACTGGTGTCTGGTTTTTAAAGAAGACTTCCGGAAGGCTCCTGGTTTAAATTTTAAGGTGATCCAGGGCCGTCAGAGTTCACCCAGCTACGGCAGCTCCAGAAAGCCTGCCGCCCGAGCGATTCTGCGATGCTGTCCTGCATTGTTCTCCCTTTCGATCAGCGTCCTTCATGGTGTCTTTGCTCACAATGTTCCTCAAGGTAGCTGGACACCATGGAGTTTCTCCAGTCTCCTGGCAGAAGCAGCAGTTCTTCGTGGAGGTGAATGCCCGCACATGCCACGTCCCTTCCCGACCGCCCTTCTTCCTCTGTTGTTCCGGAGAAATAAAGACCCAGTGTCTTGCCTTGATGGCCACTTACAAGGCCCCAGACAGGACACACGCAACACACTAGGAGTAAAGCCAAAGCACTAAACGCCTCATGAGGCCAGTTAACTCAGATGTGCCTGTAGGGGCTAGTAGCTACTAGGTCCACTCAACACTCCGGCTAGGGGCGGAGTTCACCCTGTCAATCAAGTGGTAGCTTGATGACACCTCCTAGGAGTGTGGCCTTTTGTATAAGAGCGAGATGAACAGAGAGGATTATTCCACTCTGCCTCTCTGCCTTCAGCCGACCTTGAATTCACATGATTCTGCACCTGCCGGCCCGTGCTCTCCCTGGTTCCCCACTTCACTTTTCTGTCTCATTGGCCTGCTGCCCCATGAGTCCCAAGAGGCCCTCCGGTTAGCACTGGACTTAGACACTTGACTTGGTCTTGGACGGAACGTCTTCGGGATGTAATGTTGCCTACTGATTTGAAATTCTTTCTTGCACGTAGATGAGGGTCACTGTTTGGTCTCTCTCTAACACAATGCCATAAAGTGAGGCTCAGACCCTCCACGCCGAGGAACTGAATCCTAGAAGGTGGTCAGTTGTAACTAAGCTGCTTCTGCACTTGTCCGTTGTTGTGTTACAAATCTGAGGGTCTGTATTACTACAAAAATCACAGAAACCTTTAGCAAACAAAAATGCCAAAACGTGAAGCTATGGTTTCTTCGCAGGCCCTCCATCGGAGAGGTCTACACAGTCCTGAAGTTGGACTTCCCATTTCTCAAACCTTCCCTCCCCAAAAAACTCTGCATTCTTCCATGCACACCAAGGCGAGGTGGCAGCTTGGGCAGCCTCCAGGGGGTCTTTCACTGCCCTGCGAGTTTGGGGAACAAAAAGAAGTCTGAAGAGACAAGAGTAGGGCTTCAGGGTGGATGGGGGTCAGGCTTCCCAGTGGGATTCTTACAGGGCTGCCCTCGGTGCCCTCAAAGAATGAGTGGGTGCTCACTGTCATGACGGAGGGAAGAAAGAAGTCCCTGGTGCCACTCCCCTGTCCCCATCCTCACCGGTGCAGTTTTCTACTTCTGATACAGTTACAGTTTATTGTCCCAACCTGGCCGATAAACACATGTGGGATTAATTTAAGGGCAGAGAGATAAATGGCTTGGTGAGCCTCACCTTTTGAGTTCTTGGGTCTGTTGCTTTGTGATGATCAGACCAGGGTGCAGCTGCCTTAGCCAGTTCCCTGCTTCAGCTGGCAAGGCTCACTGCCTGCAAGCCATCCCTGAGGAGAAGCCGCGTGGACCTACCCCAAAGCAGCCCTGGGTGCTGGAGCAGCCGTGTGGAGACCCCTGCCAGCGCTGAGATGTTTACACGTTCACTGACTCGGCTTTCCTCCTGCAGTCGGCATCATTGCGTGTGTTTTGTGAGATGAAGGAGGACTTTGTGGATTGGTGTTGGACATATGGGTTAATGTTGGACTTGTGGGCTTGGGCAGCACTGGGTTGGGATGTTTTCTTGGTGTGCACTTAACCTTTATATAAAACTCTCTCTTACACATGAGTTTCTGTGGGTTTGTTTCTCTAAAGCACCCTGACAAACACAACTTCTTTAGACGTCTTCCTGTGAAACACCTGTGATCATCCTGTGTCCTTTAGGAAGCGCCAACAAGATGGCCCGACCCCCCTGGAACACAAAATAACATCAGTCACCATCCCCTGAGCCGACCTCGCTGCCTGGAATTGAACTGGTTCTGCAGATCCCCCTCAGAAGCCACTGCTTAGGTTGGGCCTTGGTAAGATTGTCCTTGTAAGCACACTCAAGAGATTAAGCCAGGTCTTCACTGAGGGAATTTCTCTGCGGCTGCACGCTAGCCACAAGGACGCACGTGAACATGTGGTTTGGAATAAGCTGCGCGTGTCAACCTGAACCCGACTGGCAATATCTTCTTTCCCTCTGGTTCCAGCATTTCTAAAGACTCTCTACTTCCTCCGTGGACGATGCTCCTTATGGCACCCCATGCTGATGGGGTCTTCTGTCACCCGGGTCTTCTGTCACAAGTCTTCGGAGCATCGGATCTGTTTTGAGATGGTCTCGAAGCTCAGGTGGGGTGGACTCAAGGTTGGTTTTTGATTCGCGTGATCAGGAAAGGAAGGACCGATGAACGCATGTGTCAAAAAAAGACTCTGAAACGTGCTCTCGATTGAGGCGCAGTGATGTAAATAGAAAAATGTTTTTAAAGTGATGAAGTAGGAGAGCCGGATAGAAATTTTCCAAGGGAATCTTGGGAAGACAAAGTAAAGTCCTGTCGTGAAATGTGCAAAGACCTGGGATCAGAACACCACTGAAAGACGGAAGAAGAACTCAAGCTTCAAGTTGCAATATTGAAGGATTCTGCGGGCAAAATATTGCACGCTGCAGGACGCATCAAGAGAAGATGGAAAGGATACACAGAGTCACGGAACCAAAAAGAACTGGGTGACATCCCACCATTTCGGGAAGTCACACAGGAGCAAGAACCAGGGGCGCTGAAGGAAGAATTCCAAACGGCACAGGAAGCATTAGCCAAAGACAAGGCTCCGGGAACTGACAGACTACCAACAGAACTGTTCCAACCAACTGAGGAGGCACTGGAAATGCTCCCCTCTCTATACCAAGAAAGAGGGGTGACCCGTCAGAAGGAGCCAATTGTAGAACGGTCCCATGCAAGTACACTCCTGCTGAAGACAATTTCTAAATAGCTGCAGTGTTACATGGACAGGGAGCTGTCAGAAATTCATATCAGATTCAGAAGAGGTCGTGAGACAAGGGGCTTCAGGGTTGGCATCAGACGGATCTTGGCTGAAAGCAGAGACTACCAGAGAGATGTTGACGTATGTTTTTTTGACTATGCAAGGCATTCGACTGTGAGGGTTCTCACAAACTATGGACAGCCTTGAGAAGAACGGGAATTCCAGAGCGTCTCACTGTGCTCATGTGGAACTGTACAGGGATCCAGAGGCAGCTGTGTGAACCGAACAAGGGACTACTGCAGGGCGCAAAATCAGGAAAGGTGTGCCTCAGGGCCGTATCCTCTCACCAGACTTATTCAGTCTGCACGCTGAGAAATCATCAGAGAAGCTGGCTTATATGAAAAAGGTGGCGTCAGGATTGGAGGGAGGCTTATTAACAACTGGGGTTCGCAGATGATTCGGGGGTTCATGCTGAAAGCCAAGAGAACGTGAAGCGTTGACAGATGGGGTTCATCGTGGATCAGGACTCTATGTACAGAAGACCAAAACCCTCACCGCTGGACCAGTAGACGACATCATGGGAA